TACTTAACTTTTTCATCCTTTTTCCTTTTTCATTTTATGAATATGGAAAATATTCCTAAGACTATCTTAAACAATTTACCACAAATTTAACCTTTCACTTTTTCTTCTTTCTCGCCCTTAAATTTCCTCTCTTTAACGGACCTCATTAATGGTAACAGAATTGTGAAAAAATATTTGCATTTATTGGGAAAACACTGATTATTACTATTATTCGTTATCATCAATCATTACCACCATTTTAATCATCATTTTAATCATCGTTACTATTGTTGTATTACTATTATATTAAATTTATTTGCTAAATTATTAAAGAGGAAAATTAGCTAATTAACGCTCAATAAAAATACTGCACGTTATTACGATTATTAACAAAAATGGAAATTCATCATCGATTATACGAGAAATCGATTAATTACAATAGTGCTACCACTATTGATACTGCTAATGATCTTGTACCGATACTTTGTGATGCTAATGATACATCAGGAATTCCGGAAAATAGTAATTTTGGCCCATCAACATCATCATTAATCAATAATACTGATGCATTCGTATTACTTCCTCGAACAGCAACAGCTAATATCAATGAATTTCCCGGTTACAGTAATACTTCTTCTACTGGATTACTTAATCATCAAACAACATCTAATTTATCACTTGATTTAACATCACAAGCAATTTCTGTAATAGCTGAAACAAGCAATGAAGCAAAAAATGATTTAAACACTAACAGTCATCATCATCATCATCATTATCATCATCAATGTCAACAACAACAACAACAATTTCGACGAACATTAGCATTACAAAATGCGGAAAATAATATTTGCGCAATTGTTGGGACATTAACGACAGCTTCATTACAAACGGATCAAACTAATACAACAATGATTATTACTGCTAACAGAACTACAAATAATCGTTGTAATAGCAATAATGAAAATGATGATGCTAATGGTAGCAATAGTAATAGCAACTGCAATTGTCCAATAACAACCACTAATGAACCAAATTTTTCACAACGAATTTCAAAGGTGCCTTATTTTTTCACACTCTTTTTTTTCCTTTTCCTCCTCTTCATTCTCTTCCATTTTTATAATCTTTTCATTCATCCCATACAACAATGACTTTTAAAATGCTGCAATCAAAAAAAAAAAAAAAGAAAAAAAAATGTATTATAATATACCAAATTTGATTTGTTTAGTTTTTTTAAGATTTGATTTTTTTAACTAAAAAAATATTTTCTATTTCATTCATTTATTTGACAAAATTTTAGATATGTTTTGGGATTAGTTTGTAAAGAGAGTATCATCTTTTTACAAGGATAAATAACAATGTAAAATAAGGTACAGTTAAATTTAGGATATAAAATTTATACGATGAATAATTGAAGCTAAAAATTGTAGAAATTAAAATATCGTTTTTTTTTGCTTGTAAAAATTAGTTAATTTAAGTGGTTTGTTAAGTGAATTAAGATTGCGTAAAGATGATAAAAGTCAATCAAATATGGTATATCTGTCACTCAGTGTATAAGCATAGCTAAAGCTATGAAAATTAAGCGTAAATCAATTAATGACTACGAGAAGCATTTAAGAAATTATGATATTACTAATATGTAATTTCATAACGATATCTAATTGATGAAATCAAACGCACAATGTTGGTTTTGAAATCTGAATACAAACAAATTTTCGTACTAATCAGAGTAAATTAATAAATTATACTAAGACTCTCGGATGATGCAATTAATTCGAAAAATAAATTTAGAAAGTAAAAATTTAAACAGTATCATTGATGATCTTTAGAATCTTAACACTAATTTCAAGATCATTAAGATCCTAAAAATTATACGATACGGAAAAAAACTTTTTTTAAATAGTGTTATCAATTCATTATTATTGCAAAATTATCTATTGAAATAATTAAAATTTTTCAAATTTTTGTTCATTACAAATTACCTATGTGAAACTTTCAAATTTCAAAAAAAATTCAGTTGAATACAAATAATTCACGCGAAAATTTAAACTTTTTAAATTTTGCATATTATAAAATGATTCATGCAAATAAATCTAAACTTTTTAAAATATTATTTAATTTCAGTTCAAAGTGGAAATATGCTCTTCGTGTTCAGAATTTATCTTAGATCGAACATTGCTTAATGTTAATTCACGATTTTGGCATATAAATTGCTTGAAATGTTCGCAATGCTCCATTTTATTGGAACAATATTCAACATGTTTTGTTAAAGATAATAATTTCTTTTGCATACAATGCTATAATAGGTGAGTTGATTTTTTT